AGAGAGAGAGAGAGAGAGAGAGAGAGAGAGAGAGAGAGAGAGAGAGAGAGAGAGAGAGAGAGAGAGAGAGAGAGAGGAGCGATACAAGATTGTTGTGCGGCCTAAGGAAGAAGGTGGCGGCCATAGCCGCCGAGCTCGAACACAGAGAAGATGAGTGAAGAGGAGAGAAAGGGGATGAAGAGAGGAGAGAAAAGCATAGTTGAGGTGGAGGAGGAAGGAGAGACAAAGAACAGAGAAAGAAAAGCCATACCAGGGGGTGAAGAAGAAAAAGACGAAGGTGAGAGAGAAGCCATAGCCGAGGGAGGACGAAGAAGGAAGGTGAAGGGAAGTAAGGAGGGTTGGCGACCATAGCCAAAGTTGACCGGAGTGTTTACCAGCGTTGACCAGGCGTTTACCAAAGTTGACCGAGTGTTCCTCAGCATTGACCGGGGTACATGCTGCCGTTGACCGGAGAGTTGACCAGCGTTGACCAAGGAGTTGACCGGGGCATGGACCGAAGCTGTTGACCACGAAGTTTGACCAAGCTGGAGTTGGTATACTCTCGCCAAGCCTTCAGCCTATCCCCTTGCCCTATCGATGTGCACACACCCCACGGTTCTTGCTGAGTCAGTCTGTCTCTTCTTTTTGCATTGAGTCTCTTCTGTCCAAGTGGTAGGAACTTTGTGTATGAGGTCATAGAGCTGCGTTGACCAAACCCACACGGGATGAGTAGGGCTAAAGGCCGTGTCTGACGACTGACTGACCCGGAGGACAAACCTGCACCTGTGTACATAGAGCTGGCAGGAACTCTGTGTATGAGGTCATAGAGCTGCGTTGACCAAACCAGCTACTTTTCAGCGTTGTATGAATGCCTTGTTTAGGCCGTGGTTGGATAAATTTGAAGTTGTATATCCAGATGACATCCTAGTGTTTAGTAAGACCCTCCAGGAGCATGAGGGCCATCTAAGGCAGGTCATGGAGAAGCTGAGAAAAGCTAACTTCAAGATCAATTCGAAGAAGTGTGAGTGGGCCAAGACACAGGTTCTATACCTGGGCCACGTCCTAGATGGAGATGACATAAAGCCTGAGGACAGCAAGATAACAGCGATTAGAGATTGGCCAACTACCCGCTTGCTGACAGAGTTGCGGTCGTTTTTGGGGTTAGCAAATTATTATAGAAAGTTCGTCAGGAACTTCTCCACCATCGTTGCTTCCCTTCGTAGGTTGCTAAAGAAAGAGACAATCTGGAAGTGGGATAAAGACTGCACAGTGGCCCTGAAAAAGTTAAAGACGGCCTTAATAGAATACCCTGTCCTTAAGGTAGCCGATCCATCATTGCCATTCGTCGTCACCACAAATGCAAGCCAATTTGGTATAGGTGCTGTTCTACAGCAAGACGATGGTAATGGATACAGACCCATAAAGTTCATGTTAGCTAGAATGCCTTCAAAAAAGGTAGCGACATCCACCTACGAGAGGGAACTGTACGCTCTCAGGCAAGCATTAGAACACTGGAAGCACTACTTGCTTGGGAGACACTTTAAAGTATATTCAGACCACGAGACACTAAGGTGGCTGAAAACGTCGGCCAAGGTGAGACCAAAGCTAACTAGGTGGGCCACAGATATAGATCAATATGATTTTGAGCTCAAGCCAGTCAAAGGGAAATACAATGTAGTTGCGGATGCTCTGAGTAGGAGATCAGACTACTTTGGATCCATAGTGCACTATCCGGATATAGGGAGAGACCTGCAACAGAGAGTCAAAGAAGTGTATGCGCAGGACCCTATCTATAGCGACCTCAAGAGAGTTAAGGAGGCACCAGAATCAGAACCAGATTACCGCACTACAGACGAGTTGTTATTTGAGAAGACTAGTGTTGTTGACCACCTATGCGTTCCAATAGTGAAGAGATCCGAAGCTTGATCTTAGGGGAATGCCATGATATAGAGGGACATTTCGGTTGGCAAAAGACATTAGCCAACCTCATGCGTGCGTACACCTGGCCTGGTATGAAGGTCACCTGCATAGAATATGTACGCAATTGCGAAGTATGTCAAAGGAACAAGACTACTACGCGAGCCCCTCAAGGTCTTCTTAGACCATCGCCTATCCCAGAAGGACCCGGAGATTCAGTGTCTATATATTTCATGGACGCTGGCGTCAAAAGTAGACATGGCAAGAGTCAAGTCATGGTCGTAGTAGACAGGTTTAGCAAGTACGCCATTGTCGTTCCTTTGCCTTCTGAGGCACACGTAGATTTAGTGATCCGAAAGTTTTTCGACCATTGGGTCAGTGAACATGGGCTACCGTTGTCTATAGTAAGTGATAGAGACACCCGGTTCACTAGTCAGAATTGGCAGGAATTAATGAGAGTCTACGGATCAAAGTTGTTAATGTCATCTGGCCATCATCCAGAGACAAACGGACAGACCGAGCAAATGAATAAAGTCCTTCAGCAAGTTTTAAGGATGCACATTAGGCCCGATCAACTGGACTGGGATGAGATGCTCCCAAAAGTAGCTAGTGCCTACAATAATAGCGTGCACTTAGCCACTTGTCGCACTCCCAATGAGATACACAAGTCTTTTAAACCACGCAGACCGTTAACCGGGATCAGATTCAGAGGTTACCGCCCGGTACCAGGGAGTTTGTGATACAGCACGAGAAAGAGATAGGTACAGTAGTTGAGAACCTCAGGAAGGCCCAACACAGAATGTTAGAACAAGCCAACAGACACCGTCGCCGTTCACAGTTCCAAGTCGGCGACCTAGTCTGGGTCAAGTCAAAAGAGTTTGCTCCTGAGGAGAACATCTCGCAAAAGCTGCTGCCTGCTTATAGAGGAGGACCATGGCCAGTCCTAGAAGTCAAGGGTGGAAAGGATGGACCATCCTACACAATAGAGATTCCAGCACACCTCCACACCTACCCAGTTTTCCATTTATCAAAGTTGTTACCTTGTACAACAAGCCAACAGTTTCCATCACGAAGGTCTATAATTCCTCCGGATATGGATGGGAGGTACGGCATTGATGGCATAGTAGGTGAGGATGTCTTCAGAACAGGAGGTAGAGGTCGTCCACAGAAACAGTACAARGTCARATTCTCTTATCAAGAACCTGAMKACGACCGYTGGTTCACCAGAGSAGAACTTCTAGAGACAGCTCCCAATATAGTCCGAGCCTATGAGAGAGATAAGAAGGGTAAAGGTCCGGCCTTGGACTGAAGTATTCTCGGAGGACCTCGAATTTAGGCCGGCGGGAGTGAAACGGTTTTCACCTTTGCAGAAGCAGATGCAGATCACAGGGTTCGATCCCTAGACCCTACCTACCTGCACCCGTGTACAGTATCGAGTAGACCCCTGTGTGTTTTGAACCCACGACCTGTGTTTTAGTAGTGACTGTACCTTGTCATAGGTCCCTGTAGTTGTAGGGGTTCGATCTGTAGATCTGTCAAGTAGGGGTTAGAGATGTGTAGAGGTCGAAACTGCTAGGCTAGAGGTCCGTAGGTAAGTTGTAGGTTTTAGCTGCGTTGAGTAGGAAGTGCGATTGTATCGCGTCGGCAGTGCAACGCCATGCAGTCAGCGGTACCGGTCCAGTCAATCGCAGTCCAGTCAAGCAAGTACCGTGTGGGACTGTGTGCACCGAGGGCCTGGAGGAAAGGGGCAGACCAGCGACCAACAGAAGTATAAATCAAGAGCCAGCGTCCAGCGATTCATTCATTCGCTGCGTAAGCCATGCGGAAGCGCTGTCTCAAGCGACTTGTGCGAGGTGGTCTGTAGAGCGCCTGAGGTCGAAGAGGGCTGGGAGAAGTTAGCGTGGCTATAGTTAATAAAGAAGCGGCCATAGCCGCTGAAGATAGGGAGAGACACAGGAGTGTGTATGTGTGTGGGGTATTCAGGGTGATCCAGAGTTGAGTGTGTGCGAACAGTGGTGTTGGAGTCAGTGTCGAGAGTTGGGTTGTACAGGCGCCGAAGCGCCATAGCCTGTGGAAGCAAGTTTGCGCCTGAACCGTGTTCTCGAGTTCCATATCTCTGAGTTTTGAGTGGGCGCTGTGCGCCAGTTTGAATCGCCATCTGTTTGCATGCATGTGAAGCGAAGAAGAACGTGAGTCTGATTGCAAGTATTATTATATGAGAAAAAAATCAATGGTTTCAGTGCACCTATCATGTTTGTCTTTTTTTTTTTTTCACACCATTTGTTTCGCAAAGTGTTTTTTTTTCTCTTTTTTACACCATTTGTTTGTCTTTTAATAATATTCCATTATACATTGTATCCAATAGCATTTGAACGCTAGATCTCCCATATTCAAAAAGATTGCAACAAATGACTGGGGCGATCCTGACACACCAGATGATCACACAGGCAAGAGGGATAGAAGTTTCAGACACGAGCATTATTATATCAATCTATATGTTAATATAATAATATTTGAATAATATTCCACAACATATAATATAATATTTTAAATTTTTAATAATATTCCATAATATATATACAAGGAACGACACACTCAACAACCATTGACCAAAGTCAGTCCCCAAATATACACAATGGTTCCCAGTGTGAACTGATTGCAATTTAATACTTTTTGCATCCATCAGGATTCGAACTCACGACCTGTACCATATAATCAACTAGCAGAGGAGGAATGCATTGAAGTTGAGCTTCCATGCTGCAAGACAGAGGGTGAGGGTCCTCGTCCTCTACACTCCCAAAAGGTAAATTGTCTCAAGCAGGGGATATGAGTTTGGTTCCCTTTATCCGCAGTTGCTTTTGAATCTTTTGATTTGATGGAAATAAAAACTACGTTTGTCAAATACATGTGAACTTATACAGTAGTTCTTTGTCCTCATACATACCATTGACCAGCCATTTGGTCTGCTTGAATGCATGTCTTCCCATTTCCTTGGCTGCTGTCATAGTTGAAGTACCTGCTCTTGAAAGATTAAAAACAAAAAGATCAACGATGCAATGTTAATCAAAAGTCGTAAGAAATTGTTCGAAGTAATAATAACTTAAAAGTGTCATGGCGGTGAAAAAGAATCAATATTTTATCGAGTCTTTACTCTCAAAATTACCCTCGAATTCTGTTCGATTTGAGAGTCCGACCTTGGCCGCAGAGTTTCTCTATGCAATTGAAGTTTGAGAGAGAGAGAGAGAGAGAGAGAGAGAGAGAGAGAGAGAGAGAGAGAGAGAGAGAGAGAGAGAGAGAGAGAGAGAGAGAGAGAGAGGCGAGGTGGATGGAGATCTCCCCCACTTGTTTCTTATGCATGTGGATGATCTGAATGGAATGCAGAGACCCCTTGATTGGATAGTTTACACTGAAAGCATCAGAGAACCATAAACATGCCTGGATTCCGGAAAGCTCACAGTGAACTTCACACATCTAGAAACAACCATTGACCTGCAATTGATCAACTAAGGTCCAAGTTCACACCAGCAGGGATGATACAAAGTGAATATTTGAGTACTTGTTTTCACTTTGTAGATGACAAAAAGGAGTGACTTGCACAAGGTACAAATAACTTTTTCCTCTCTAGCAATGCCTGGCCTCACCTTCCATTCCACAGCTTCTCCACATAGGCCTCCCGCCCCTGAAGCAGAGAAAGAAGACAACAAAGCACCATCATTTACTTTGACTGCGTCCCTTTACTTTGACTTTGTTCCCTTCTTTTTTTGTGTTGGGGTTTGGGAGGGGGGGGGGGAGGAGCGGGGAGCAGTTCCTTATGGTCCTGGCTCTGAAAAGAGTCTGAATCCATTCTGGGGAGCGTCAGTCCGGTTACTTCTCCCCTGGCAAGTCATAAGGACAACCTTCAGACACCCACGCATCCTTCTGTATTCTGTTTTTTTCTTCTTTTACAGGCTTACAGCATCTTTGTTTGTTTGTTTGTTCGTTTTTTTCTGAAAAAACAAAAGACTATGAGAATCCAAGAAGAAGAATTACACCAGTTACACCAATGTTTTCCCCCTCATTCTTCCTCCCCATCCCTCTTCTTTGCTGTACTCCCCGTCCTCTTAATAATCAATTAAATGCAACAACAAATGAATAACTGAACAGGAATCATATTGGAGTGTTCCACCTTACAGCCAGTAACTCAAGAAACCACCTTTCATCCCTAACCTCACTTCTCTCACCTTCATAGCACCTAAGGGCTATGGCGGAACCTCCCTCCTCATCACGGATGTTTGGAAATTTCCAGCAAAAAGATAAGTTATACGTCAATATTTTCGAGGGGCAGATGTCTGGCTTCCCTGCTGATTGTCCGCACCGACGCAAAGGTTTTGGGGGGCGAGCTAACTGTCACGTGTGGTTCTGAGGGCAGGCGTTCTGCACTGACCCGCTGACGCGCCGGCGAAGGAAAACGCAAACACTACTATGCCAAAGTCCTCTCCCTTCCCGACACACTCTCGGAAGATGACCAAGACCAACCAGGACCCATGCTGGGGCCTTCTTGATGCAGCGCCAACCAAGCAAGTGGAGATGGAAGTCAACCATAGCCAAGGTGAGTCTCTCTATGTAGGTTTCTCTCACTCTCTCTCTTCCTCACCTCCTACTCCCTTCTGCCCTCCTCCTTCATCTGGCATGGGGCGCTTAACCCTCTGCCACCATAACCAGGACTGTGCCCTTCTACTACTACTCCATAGCCAAGGAGTCTTGCCCTCCAGCTCCACCTTCTCCTCCGAGTGCTCTGCCAACTTCCCCCTCTGGGTGGAGCACCATGATGCTCACTTGAAGAATTAACCAAAAGGACCCCTACCGCTCTTGGCTCTGAATGATATACTCTTTTGCTACCAGCCACTCTTGGCCGAATTTCACTGTAGCTCGGCCTCACAGCTTCACTTAGGCTGCGGTACCGCTCCTACCTCTGCCTCTCAAGGTACTAGGCCTACCAGGGGTTCCTGCCCTTTGGCGGGAACCTTATTGCAGCCTGCAAGTCTACCTCAGGGCCTGAATCTAGCCTACTCACGGCCTTTTTGATAATCTACTGGGCCGGACCTTTGTTGGGCCTGCCCGAGCTACTGGAAAATCCTTGCCAGGTACTTCCCACTTTCTACTTGGTCCCTGTCCGTCCTAGCTTCTACTGGCAGTCTGTTCAGTCCCAATTTCAGTCTTGCCCCTGTGGTTTCCTTATTCCTAATCTACTCCTCCCAGGACGTAGAAAACACAAGGTAAGGACACGGTTAGTGCTCCCGGGACATAGACAACACAAGGTAAGCACACGGTTAGTGCTCTGTGTAGCATTCATCACACATGAACTTAGACACATGCAAACACACATCAAACTCACACAGCAGTGACAGCACGCCAAAATCAAAGCAAATCAGTCGAGCAAACAACAACACTCAGAAAACGGCAGAAATCTCATGCTGAGGTCATTGCAGTTATAAATCATCTCCATAAAAACCCTTCTTCCATCCAGACGTGTGTCGTCATCTTCGCTACACACGACTTCACAAAGAAAAGCATGACCGTGCCAGACTGTTTATCCATCCAGATGTGTGTGTGTGTGTGTGTTGTTTGTGTGTGTGTGTGCGTGTGTGTGTGTGTGTGTGTGTGTGTGTGTGTGTGTGTGTGTGTGTGTGTGTGTGTGTGTTTCAAACATCCCCAAATTCTCTCCTCATTCCAACCACAAATCATCACCAACCATCCATGAAACAAAAAAAGTATAGATAGGCAATACATTAGAAGATCCAAGGTTGCCCACATTTGTGTGGTTGAGGCGACAAGTGCCCACACACCCGTCTCCATGTGTGTGTGTGTGTGTGTGTGTGTGTGTGTGTGTGTGTGTGTGTGTGTGTGTGTGTGTGTGTGTGTGCCTGTGTGTGTTTGTGGGTGTGTGTGTGTGTGTGTGTGTGTGGGTGTGTGTGTGTGTGTTTGACTCTTTTCTAAACAATCACCACATTAGGTTAGCAACCCCTTTTCCACCCGGATGCATTGATACCACAGTCAGAAGTTTTTTTTTTTTTTTTTTTTTAAACACAAACATCCATCTGCCGCCGGAGTAGCATACTTGCACATATGTATTATACTCTATAAAGGGGTCAAGGGCATATGGCAAAGAACTGGCACTAATCATATTCATCTCAAACGACTCACTCATGTCATCATCATCTCCATCACTCCATGGCTAGACAATCTCCCTTTCACTTCGTTGTCTGGCTCCTGGAGTGTATAGACCCCAACAAAAAAAAAAAAAACTAGTTTTACGGAACTTTTACCACAACAAATAAGGCTCCACTGACAAGAAAGGACCGACCATGCTGCAAATCGTCTGAAAAAACTTAAGAGTGCCCTCTGTGTCAGCCCACAAAGCCACCATAAATCATACCAAAATCCACAAGATCTCCATGCAACACCACTGCTTAAACACGCTGGAAGCCCCCGTTTCTTCCATGTGATCCCACAGCAAACACTCTCTGAGCCTCCTCGCAAAGACACCGTGGCCAAAACTCCAAACATCCATTCCCACCCTGAAAAACTTGTGGCCATCCACAGACATTCCTTCATTAAAAAGACAGCCCATGCTTTGAAGCAGGGCAAAGAATAAGGCCACGTATATAAAGTTATTATAAACAAATGACAACCAACAAATGTGTGTTTTGAATTTTCACCACAACAGCCCCTATCTACCCAGATGAGTAGATCCAAAATCATAGCAGCTTTAGTCCTATTGCACACAACGAAAACACTTGAGTTGAGGCAAATCAACAATGAAACAGCTACTGAGCTACGTTTATAGCAACCAACACGGATCAAAATGGAAGTGTTTAAATCCCTTTGTGAACTGTGGCTTTTTTGGGTACCCATTTCATTTGTCCTTGCAACTCCCCTTTTACTGTGCCTCTCATGTACAAGGCTCGGCACGTTGATTGTGGTTGAGCCTGAGCCAGTGTTGTCATGCGGGGATCCCCTCGGGCTGAGCTGGGGTTGTCAATCAACCCCCGGACCCCCGATTCCCCGGACCCCCGAGGGTGCAAATTCAGCTTTTTTTTTTTTTTTGCTTCCCCGCACTCCCCGAGAGGAATAATGCAGAGAACCACTTCCCCCCCCGCCCCCCAAACCGGGACTCCACGGGGCCAAAAAAAATTCCCAACCAGCTGCCCCCGCGGACCCCCAAGGTGGGGGAAAATTTGTCTCATGGCTTTTTCAAGAAAGATTGACAACCCCACCCAAACGGGTGGGTAATTGGTACATATCATGCATATCATTCACTTCAACATGAAAGCTATGCACAATGATTTTTGATAAGTTCTTCCATGTCTGATTTCCGTCCCGCCTGAGGGAACCTTTGCACACCTCCGTTACCCTTTGGCAGGCCTACGCTCCATAGAAACTGTCTAACCTGAGACCTTTCCTTAGCCGGAAACGACATAAGGTCAGAATTCTTTTTTTTTTTGGTGAGACGATGCTCCAATCTATTCGTGGGGAGCAACACGGCTGGGAACTTGGCCCAGCTTCCCTTAAGGTTAGAATTCTAGCTTCTCAAGAATGGTATCTAACTGATGGCTCCAGTCTTTCCGGAAAAGACATTCTAAACCTTCCACCAAAGCTGCACAGGAAAAGCCCAAACCCAATCCCAGGGAACAGTAAAGCTTCATAGGGTCTTTCTGTCCAGGTGCAGGTAGTCCGCATCTTCACAAATATGTCGTCGCTGCCACTGTTTCTTTATTTTTTTTTCTGATTTTTTTTTTCGAATTTTCTTGTATGGACCCGGGGTTGGGGGTGCCCAGCCCGCTGGGGGTCCGGGGCCGGGGGATGGACAATCATGGCGTGAGCTGCCCACATCCCCATGTGCCATAACGGCCCAATAGCACATTATGAAAGGAGGCAGAGTAAAGGCGGAGATATGTGTGGGTGTGTGTGTGTCCAGAACATAGCTGAAACGGTTTTCAACTTTTTGCAGACACAGATGAAGATCCCAGAGTTCGATCCACAGACCTCACCTTACCTTACCTTACCTGTGTACAGTATCGAGTCGACCCTGTGAGTCTTGAGCCCGTGACCTGTGTGTTAGTAGTTGAAGTTGTCTGTCATAGGTCTGAGTAGTTGTCGGGTCTTGAACCTTAGACCTGTCGAAGTGGGGGTCGCACCTGCATAGGGGTCGTAGTTGTTAAAATTCTGAAAGGTCAAGGTCGTAGCTGCTACAGTCCTGAAAGGTCAAGGTCGTAGCTGCTACAGTCTTGAAAGGCCAAGTCCGCAAACTTCCGGAAGGTCCGGAAGTGGCCTTTCAAGTTTCTTCTCACGATTTACACAGCAGACCAGAGGCCAGTGGGCAAGTGGTGAGTCCAACTTCGCTTAGTCAGCGGTACCCAGTCCCAGTCTTACTTTGTAACAGTCAGCAAGTACCACGAGGGACTGTGTGCACCATGGGCCCGGTGGAAAAGGGCAGACCAACGACTTACAGAAGTATAAATCAAGAGGCAGCGTCCAGCCATTCATTCATTCGCTGCGTAAGCCATGCGGAAGCGCTGCCACAGCGTCTTGTGCGAGGTGGCCTGCAGGTCGCCCGAAGTCGAAGTGGGCTGAAAGAAGATAGCGTAGCCATAGCCAGTAGTAGTTGAGCAGCCATAGCCGCTGTAGATCAGATATAGGCTTCAGTGTGTATATGTGTGTAATACAGGGAAGCGTGTGGGATATCCAGGGTGATCCAGAGTTGAGTACGTGAGAACAGTGGTGTTGGACACAGTGCCGAGAGTTGGGATGTACAGGCGCTGATGCGCCATAGCCTGTTGAAGTGAGTTTTGCATCTGAACTCTGTTCTCGACTTTCAGATCTCTGAGCTTTAAGTAGGCGCTTGGCGCTAGTGTGAGTTGCCATCTGTTCGCATGTATGTGAAGCGAGGCTGATTGCAACAGCCCTTATTTGGCCTAAAATAACCCATTCTACGAAGAATGAAAAAAGGCAGCCCGCCAGGGGTCTGGGGCTGGGGGTTGGACAACCATGGCATGAGCTGCCCACATCCCCGTGTGCCATAATGGCCAAATAGCACATTATGAAAGGAGGCAGAGTAAAGGCGGAGTGTGGCATATGTACATCCCACACGGGCCCAGTAGGACCCGCCAGGTAGGTAGGAAGGGGTAGGGACTTAGCTTCAGGCCAGCACATTAGTTTTCAGGCCAGAAAAAGGGCCGCTTTAGGCCCACACCAGGTTCGGCCTGGCCAGGCCCTGGTACCGGTAGCTGTTCAGGCCCTGGCCTCCTTTTTTTTCCAGGCCACACTTGGACCGTCAGATTCGATCCAAGTGTCCGACCAGATTGTTTCCCAGGCCATTCATGCTGGGCCTCACGGTTAGGCCAGTTGGACCTAGGAGAGGACAGACCAGTAGTATTTATAGACTGGTCTGC